TCATTTTATCCTATTTTACAAAAAATCAACACCCAAATATGATTGGTTTAACACAGTATAATCCTGATTGTTAAAATCTATATATTTCTTTGATAATTTTGATTTTGATTATTACCCTGAAGAAGTCCAAACAAGTTAGCTAGACGAAACGTTGAAATTAGTTAAATTTCAATCGCTAAGAATATTTCAAATATAATTTTCACATATAATGGTACAAGAAGTTGTTATAGTGCGGATGACTTTGTCCGCTAAATAAGTTAGCAAAAACGGCTTAACTGAGTTAAATGAGAATAAACTCAATTGCACGTGAGTCACCATAAATTACCTCACTAATATCGGTTCCTGAAGAAAATTATGAACTACTACTACCATCCAGTTGATGAAATTGAGGTGTAGTAGTTAGGATTTGAACTTGAAACGTTAATGTTGAAAGATTTGAGTGCCCTCACTACTAAGTAAGAACTTCAAATCATTATTTCAAGCTTCATTGAGAAATGTAAAGTGGATATTATTATCAATATATTGAGTGCAGTGTACGACAGGAACTTACTTACTTACTTACGCCTGTTACTCCTCGTGAAGGAGCATAGGCCGCTCACCAGCATTCTCCATCCAACCCTGTCCTGGGCAATCCTTCCTAGCTCATTCCAGTTGTTATTCATCCTTTTCATATCTGCTTCTATTTCCCGACGTAATGTGTTATTTGGCCTTCCTCTTTTTCGCTTCCCTTCAGGATTCCAAGTTAGGGCTTGCCTCGTGATGCAGTTTGACGATTTGCGTAATGTATGTCCTACCCATTTCCATCGTCTTTTCCTAATTTCTTCTTCAGATGGAGGTTGGTTTGTTCTCTCCCACAGAAGGCTGTTGCTGATGGTATCCGGCCAATGGATGTTGAGTATCTTGCGAAGACAGCTATTTATAAATACTTGTACTTTCTTGATTGTGGTTGTTGTAGTTCTCCAAGTTTCAGCTCCATACAGTAGAACTGCCTTGACGTTCGTATTGAAGATTCTTACTTTGATATTGGTTGAAAGTTGTTTTGAGTTCCATATGTTCTTCAATTGTAGGAATGCGACCCTTGCTTTGCCGATCCTCGCCTTTACGTCTGCATCGGATCCTCCTTGTTCATCGATGATGCTTCCCAGGTATGTGAAGGACTCTACATCTTCCAGAGTTTCGCCATCAAGTGTGATTGGATTGCTGTTCTCCGCTTTGAATTTGAGGAGCTTAGTTTTCCCTTTGTGTATGCTGAGGCCTACTGATGCAGAGACTGCTGCTACACTGGCTGTCTTCATTTGCATCTGTTCGTGTGTACGTGATAGTAGGGCTAGGTCATCTGCGAAGTCCAAATCGTCTAATTGATTCTGGGCTGTCCATTGTATTCCGTGTTTTCCTTCAGATGTTGAGGTCTTCATAATCCAGTCGACCACCAGAAGAAAGAGGAAGGGAGAGAGTAAACAGCCTTGTCTGACTCCTGTCCTTACTTGGAATGCATCTGTCAGCTGTCCTCCATGCACTACTTTGCACTGTAGTCCGTCGTATGAGTTCCGGATAATATTGACAATCTTCTCAGGAACTCCGTAGTGTCTAAGAAGTTTCCATAACGTCCTTCTATCTACACTGTCGAATGCCTTTTCATAATCAATGAAGTTGATGTATAATGATGAGTTCCACTCAACTGATTGTTCGACGATGATCCGTAGTGTTGCAATTTGGTCTGTGCACAACCGATCCTTACGGAATCCAGCTTGTTGATCTCGAAGTTGGGCGTCTACTGCATCCTTCATCTGGTTCAGCAACACTCTGTTGAAGACTTTCCCTGGTATTGACAGTAGTGTAATGCCTCTGTAGTTTTCACATTTGCTCAGATCTCCTTTCTTTGGAATCTTGACGAGGTGTCCTTCTTTCCAGTCCATCGGCACTTGTTCCTCCTCCCAAATCTTTTTGAATAGAAGATAAAGCATGCTTGTGGTTGTTTCGATGTCCGATTTCAGTGCTTCAGCTGGTATGTTGTCGGGTCCTGCTGCTTTCCCGTTCTTGATTTGTCTGACGGCCATTCTAATTTCTTCCGTAGTTGGTGAATTGACATCTATAGGAAGATCTATGTGTGCTGCTTCGATGTCCACTGGATTCATTGGAGCCGGCCTATTCAGGAGTTCCTCGAAGTATTCTACCCATCTGTTACGCTGTTGTTGAATTTCGGTGATTGGCTTGCCTTCTTTGTCTTTGACCGGCCTCTCTGGTTTACTGTAATTCCCTGCTAGTTTCTTCGTTGTATCGTGAAGTTGTTTCATATTTCCTTCCCTAGCAGCTTTTTCTGCCGTCGTTGCTAGTTCTTCCACGTATTTCTTCTTGTCGGCTCTAATGCTCCTCTTCACTTGTTTGTTTGCTTCTATGTATTCAGCTTGTGCTTGGACTTTCTCTGCTCGTGTTCGGCTGTTGTTTATTGCTGCCTTCTTGTTCTTCCTTTCTTTGATCTTGTCCAGTGTTTCTGTAGAGATCCATTCCTTATGATGGTATTTCTTTAGACCGAGAACCTCTTGACACGTTGAAGTTAATGCTTCTTTGATGCTTTTCCAGTTGTCCTCCATAGTAGTTTCTTCTTCTTTCAGTAGATCTTGTAAAGCTTGGAACCTGTTGTTGAGAGCTATCTTGAATTCATTGAGTTTGACAGTATCTCGAAGGAAGGCTATATTGAACCTTTGTATTGCTGTTTGTCCACTTGTCCAGTTCTTTTTTAGCTTCAGTTTTAAATTGGCTACAACTAGGTGGTGATCTGAAGCTACGTCAGCACCTCTCCTGGTTCTCACATCTTCCATTGTCCTTCGGAATTTTTTGTTAATGCAAATATGATCTATTTGGTTCTCTGTAGTGTGGTCCGGTGAGATCCATGTAGCCTTGTGTATACGCTTGTGTGGAAATATTGTGCCTCCTATGACCAATTTGTTGAATGCACATAGATTTGCAAATCTTTCTCCATTTTCGTTTCTTTCTCCCAGTCCATGTCGTCCCATAATATCTTCATATCCAGTGTTGTCTATTCCGACTTTGGCATTTAGATCTCTCATCAGAATAGTTAGGTCCTTTCTTGGGCATTTCTCAATGATTGACTGCAGCCGCTCGTAGAACTGATCTTTAATTTCGTCGTTGCTACCATTGGTGGGTGCATAACATTGGATAATATTCATTAAGACCCCCTCCTTCTTTGTTTTGAATGATGCTTTGATGATTCTGGATATGTGAGATTCCCATCCTACAAGTGCATTTCGTGCTACTTTGGACAGCATAAGAGCGACTCCCTGAGTGTGTGGAGCATTGTCCTCTTCGTGACCGGAGTATAGCAGCATCTCTCCCGTAGCTAGCTTTTTCTGTCCAGCTTGGGTCCAGTGGGTTTCGCTGATTCCCAGTACTGCTAAGTCGTATCTCCTCATTTCCATTGCTATTTGACTGGTCTTCCCGGTTTCCCACATTGTTCGAACGTTCCATGTACCTATAAAAATTTTTGCTCTGGTTGTTAGAAGGGGCATCGGCCTCGTGGCTTCCGAAGGAACTCGGCTTTCACCATGAAGCGTCATAATTCTTCTAAATGAAGACCTTCTAACTCCCAGGGCAGGGTTAAAATGGTTTGGATTATTTTTTCTGGTAAGCGTTTTTTTAGCGAGTTAGTTTTCTACGGGATGGGGACGCTAACCCCATGCCCAACCCTCCTCCTTTACCCGGGCTTGGGACCGGCAGCAACCCTATAAGAGCTACAGGCGGAGTTGTACGACAGGAAGGAAATCGGAAATTCATAAATAGTTTTGTGGTGTGTGCTACTGTTGTCGAAAGATATAAGTTTTATATACCATTAGTTGAAAGTGAATTGCCTGGCGGTAGAAGATTAAGATGATCGAAGGAAAGAGAACGAAAACAGGGAATGATTGGTGTTGAAATGAAGTATCAATGAAGTCTGAGACGATTGATTAACATTTTGTAAATGAAGTATTTACTGTATAGTTGTCAGATTTTACTAAGATGTTCTGTAATTTTGTGTTCAGATACATTTGATTGTCCCCATTTGTGTTCGCGTTCACTATAATATCCGTTATAAATTCTTCAATGATGGAATCTCTTTTTGTATAAAACAAGATAAAACAAGAGAATCAAAGAGATTTGATGTTAATGTATAGAAAAGATCACATTTTGTTTTATAGATACAATATTGTACAATGTAGTCTATTAATAAGCCAGTTACTTTTATATTTAATAGCTGAGAGGATAAAACAATTGGATATAAGGCGAAATTATTTTGTGAATCGATAATAATGGTTATTATTCAGTAGTATAAACATTAGAAGTGTCCATTTGGATTGATTATTATTTTGATCATGAATATACACACTAATTTTAAGGAGAATATTGGACAATACTACTTGATGCAAACAATGAACTTTCGAAATAATGTCTGTTCACAAAATGTCTTAATCATCTTACTGATTGTAGATAGATTTCATTCTGTCATAGAAATTAATTGAATAGGAATTGTAAACTATTATTTTTGCAACCAATAGTTCACATTTACTAAATTACTCTAGAAAGGAAATTGATGTGTAATAGGTAGAGAAGAGATTATCATTATTAATTCACTTAACATGTACAGAATCGTGTATTTGGCATCAAACCATACTTTAATTATAAGAACTAGTGATATACCAGTACGCGGTTATCCTAGCCATAGTGAAGATGGAGTGGGTTCGAGTTTGTAGATTATGTCGAATACTTTAACCATTAGGCTTACTACTCCTTAACCGCGATTCACCTCATAAAGGTAAGAGATTATCGATAAAATACTTCAATTCAATTCACTTTTTGTATTTTCAATTTTTATTACTTTTCTTTTTTTGTTTAAAGGTAACACTGCATTACATGATTGTACAGAAAGTGGCAATTTAAAATGTTTACAATTATTGTTAAATCATCGAGCTATTATGCGTAAAGATGAATATGGTCAATTACCAATTATGTCTGGTGCAAATGCAGCTTACAAAAAAGTTAGTTTGTTACTGGTTAATAAAAGATTTTCAATGAAATATGAATGTTACATTAGATCATATTTGACCAAGATAAAGTGAAATAATATATCACTTTTGAAATTTATTTATTTATTTTAACACATAAACATTGGTACAAGGAGGCACCAAATAGATATGCGCCACATAAATCATTCGATTTGTGTAAGGGCTGTGATACTGCCCGGGTGCCCAGACCGAAGCAGGTGGTTTTCTTAGGGGACCACACCCCGAGCATTTGACCTAAAGGTCTGATCCACAAGGCAGTTGAGCATCGTGAGATGCGGTGTCATGGTAGCCAGTGAACGACGATTGGTTCATACGCAGTTCGTTCCCGCAGGATACTGGAGCCCATGTGCACCATTGGTTTGGGATCCGGTTAAAGCCCCTGGCGGACATTCGCTTTTCGTCCTCTCATTTTCGTAAAAAAACACTCCCGCCACGAGAAGGCAATGAGTAGGACTTCCCCGGCATAGGCTATATACGCGTGTCTGTGTGAGAGCATTTCGAGGAGGGCGGGCCCACCCCACTCTCGGCCATACCAGGGCATTTGGGGGGGGGGTCAAAGATCATAACCACAAGTGATATTGTCAATTTATATTGGATATATTTTGTTGTTTGTTTGTTAAGTTTTTGTGATTGCTAGTGGCCTTCAAGTATTTTTTTAAATATTATTACCGTAATGATTCTTAGTACGTTGTCGAATTTCCAGTTTGTATAGTTCTTTATGCAAAGATGTCAGAGGTAATGCGCTTTATTCGTTTTTAGTAGGTTACTTTTTAAGGTTGTCTACATCTGTCTTTGAGTTAAGGATAGTTGTTTTTATGATCTGTAAGCAGTGATTTTGAATGAGTACATCTAGAATATGAAATCTTTTAAAGGGGTTATAAACAGATAGGAAAAGAAGTACTGACTCTTTCACTACCATCCATCTTACTGATGAATTACTAAACTTTATTGACAATCTTCGATTTTATATACCCCCCCCTAGAACCCTAATTCAATCGACTATAGCACCAATAGCACTTTTATTTTATTAATTTGAAATATACTATCGGCAAACACAAGATTACAATTATGCTACTAATTTTATTGGGACGATATAGAGATGGTAAATCAATCCATTCGAAGAACTTAACTTCTGAGATAGTTTAGACAAAATAATGTGTAGCCATAAATAGAGGGATTATTTCGAATGAGATAATAAGATTAATAGTCCTTAGGTTCTGTAGAATTAAATTTTTATATCTTCATTTCGTGTATCTATTGGATAGAGTTGTATATATGGTAATACTGTTTGATAATCGTGTTAAGTACACACATTATGCGGAACATGTCAGAGTTGAAGTCTCTCTGTTCATTTGAAAACTTCATTTGGGATTTGTAGGCCTTGTTTTTCACAGATTAGTTTCTATTGAGATATCATTGGAAACTTAGGAGAACTCGAAAATTGTTTCGTTATAGTAATGGACTCATTAATATTGAACACAACCCCGCCAGGTATCAAACCTATAATCTTAAGGTCTTGCGACTAACGTTTAACCATTAAAACCAGTTGGTCAGCGTCCAATGGTACAACTTCATCTTCAGTCAATTTCCGATATGGCGCAATAATCATTTAATACCACTGATGAAAACTATCTAAACAGTCGAATTCATGAGTTGATCTAAGCTAGACAACCATTCAAAATCCGGAAGCACTAGATGGCCATTTTGTCCCAGAATGGGACTCCTCAGCAGCTGGCATCCATGATCCCTCACGTACTCGAACCCCAAACCTTCGGTCTCGTCAGACAATGGATGAAGGGTTGTGCAAAGTCATGGATCGATTGAAGCTAGGGATTAACACCGTTAGATGCCGGCTCATTGGTCTAGAGACTAAGCATTCGTGCGCGAGAACGAAGGTTTCGGGGTCCGAGTTCCATGTGGGGGGTCGTGGATGGGCTCTGCTGAGGAGTTCAATAATAGGACAAAGTGGCTGTTCAGTGCTTCCAGATTTTCAATGATGGTATAGCTTAGATCGACTCATGAATTCCACTGTTAAATTTACTACAATCTCTACAAATCCTCATACTGATAAAACTATTTCACTTTCGATATTTTTAAACTCTATCAATTAAGACTTCATAGTTGATCTTTAGGAACATCTTAAAGTAAACCGCTAAGGTGAGCTGATCCTTTTAACTAAGTTGAGTAATATACATAGATTACTGAGCGACAGATTTACATATTTTGTTGTTAACTTTCGTGTTATTCAATACACTGTTATATATCTGTACACTGGACATAATTTTTTATACTGATTTTTCTTTAAAATTGTTTCATTATATTATGGTTTATTGTTTATATAGATTGATCAGATTTTCATTCACTGGTTTATAAGTTCAAATCTTTCCTTCAATATTATCAGTTCTTACATAATGCTGTGAAGTGTATGTGTTTATGCATGATTATAAAGGATAATTAAAACGATTACAAATTTAATTCAAGTTCATACTCGTTGTACAAATAAGAGTAATTAGCTGAGTTTATCAGCTAAGTGAATAACACGTTGATATTTAAAGAGAAATGTATTAGATTGAAATCCTAAAGTGATCAACATCACTGGGATGTAATAGATATATATCCAATTAAGGATAAGTTGTAGAGTAAAATATACTTACATCCTAAATTCCATTACTAACCACCAATTCATCTTATTTATTTACTTGGACATATAAATATTGGTACAAAGGGGTACCGAATACATATGCACCCCACACAAGTCACTTGATTTGTGTGGGATGGGATACTTCCCTAGTGTCCAGACCGAAACAGATGGTTTTCTTAAAGGGCTACACCCGGAGCCTTTGACTTAGAGGTCTAATCCACAAAGCAGTGGAGCATCGTGAGGAGGTGCAGTCGCACGGTAGCCGGTGACCAACGATTGGTTCATACTCCATTTGTTCCTTCAGGATATTGGAGCCCATATACACCATTGGTTTGTAATCAGGGTTTTCCAACTCTCCTAGGTGGACTCTCCATGTTCACCAACCCAGTTAAAGCGCCGGATATTCGCTTTCCGTCCTCTCAATTTCGTTAACAACAGTAATGCCGCGAGAATGCAATGATTAGGACTTGCTTGGCAGTGTTTGTATACGCGTAACCATGTGAGAGCATTTCGAGAGGGAGAGGTAACTCTCCTCACTTTCAACTGTACTAATTCATCTATTCTATGTAAATGCTGATAATGATTATCAACCTATTTTTGATAAATATATGATGACATAATTTGTAACTTATATAGCTAATTAACGAATCATAATGATACTCATTAAGTATATTTTCTTTCTTTTTGTTGTTGTTGTTGTTGTTGAATTTTCAGTTTCATTTAATCTTTAAACAATGTTAAAATATACAATAAAATATAAACTCTTATAGATTGTAGATTATTTGGCTACTGTTGAAATTCCTGATTCAACACAAACAATAAGTGTTAGTGAAAAAGCTGCTGCATATGATCTACTTGGTGCTAGTCTATTCGATCGACATTCTTTAATTCAAGACGCTATAGCTGCTTGGTATCATGCGATAAATTTACGCCAAGAGTTGTCTACTTATTATAATAATAATAATAGTAATAATAATAGTGGTAATAATAAATTTATTCCACATCCAGTACCACAATGCTCTTGTATGAATGAATTAATGTCATGTGTTGAAGGGCAACCAACAATGACAACCACTACCACCACCACTACAACAACTACTACTACTTCAACTACTAATTCATCCAATAATTGTTGGTCATTGATTTCATTAGCTGCACGTGAAGCAATTGGAATGGCTGAAACTAGTCGATTTGATGAACAACATTATTCGTTAACATCTAATTGGCAACGTCATAAAAGATCTACAAGAATTCATGACATTTTATTTAAAAGTTATAATTCCACAAAATTTCATCATCATAATTCAATTCATCAATCAGCTATACGACAAAAGTCTACAACGAAATATTCACAAGATTTACATGAATTATTTCAAAGAAAATATAAAAAATTACAAACTGATTTACAAAATGCTTATCAATGTAAATTTGAACATTTAGGTCATTCATTGTATCGTTCGAATTCATTAAAAGATTATACTGTTGATGTACAATCACCACCGTTTTGTTCAGTGTTTCTTCAAGGTTCGCATAATTCACGTTTAGGTTTACGTCGTAATGGTTCTAGTGAGTATTTTGATCAGTCTTCTCCTACCAATTCAATATTATCACAAGGTATTTGTAGATCATCACCATCACCAACGAATTCTTTAAATTTTGGAACATCCTCATCCTCCTCTCCACCACCTTTATCAACAACAGGACATCATAGTGGCAGTTGTGCTGGTGGTGTTTTCGTCCAATCTGTTATACCTGTCGATCCTATTCTAGGCTTTGAACCGAAATGTTGTAAAATTGCACGATATCGTCGATGGCTTCTGGAGCCTGTTCATCAAAATTATCAAGTCAGATCGTCGACAACATCTGATCATAATAACACTAGTAACATATTGCATAATAATACAGAGGATTTCACTCCATCCAAAATCATAAATCAATGTCCTCATTGTAAACAAATACTTGTTTCAATGAATAATTTAAGTGAAGAAAGTCTACTTTCAAATCAATCCACCTGTCCCATTTGTAAGACATCACTAGTAGTAAATCATTCTTGTAAGTTACATATCATTTGCTTCCTTTTACTATGTTTTTTTCTCATTTAACTTGTAATCCTGCTCCACCAGTGTACAGAGGACTGTGCTTGGTTTTAAACTCAAGTTTAGTGATTCTGCTCGGTTTCTTAAAATGAAGTGGTGAGGAATCTGAATCACTGAACCACCACTTCGTACATTTGCCATCTAATGTGTTATCTTTTGCCTAGAAAAGCATATTAAATGATAGATATATATATATATATGTGCTAAATTAAGACTTGGTTATTTTTCGACACCATACACTAATCGGTTAATGATATTGTGGAATGATACAATATGATAGAGTATAAACTACTCACGAGGCTAGCTTATCAACGTACGCTCCCAAATTGAACTGAACATCTGAATACAAGTTAGCAGCTGCTCAATGGAGTAGACTTTTCACTGTAATAAAAAACACGCTTATGCATAAAATATTAACAGAAAAATATAAACGTAATTAGATGTTACAGATGAGTGTACAATATCCATCATGATAGAACAGTGGGAAGACGGAGTCGAGTTGAAAAAGTGTGGTGTATTTGCGTTATACGTTCCGAACAGTTTGGTGACACTTGTCAATCTATTTATGTCTAAGAAAATGATGATTAATTCAATAAAAGATCGAGTAAACCTAAATTGATAATCATAAACAAAGATGTGAAGAAAGCTAATATAATATGTGAAGAATGGAAAATTGTCACATTACCTTATTCTATAAACTGGTTTAAAGATTGTCAGGGCACATTCAAGGTTACAATATGTTGTTTCTGTGTGTATAAAGGGGGGTTTGGATTTTCTAATAACCAAGGCTTCTATAAACTTGAAAATTAGTATACAACGCTTTTTTTAAAAAAAACTATTGATGTCAATTCTATACCCCGTTTTATATCGATGAATGATGCTTTCTACTTTCTACGTTTATCGATGTAAGCACGTGTTCCTATAACCCTTGATTGAATTGTTCGATCATTCCTTCCTATGTATATATGTCTACCCGAATCTGTGGAATGTGATGAAAACGTTTGATGAATATCTAGTTCTATAGGGGATAATAAATTTGATTTTTTTTTCGATTACAATCAGTTTTGCAGTGTAGAATATTTTCTCAATGGTTGTTCTTGGTCTCTGGTCTCAAAATCATGCTGTTTGATCGATTCTCTTATAAATATCTGTTTTGGTTGGTCATTCTCGTATTCACTGAACTATGTGGTCTTATCCATTGTGTTAGTCCAGTTCATTTTATATATCGATCTATTTTTTTATAGCAAAGATTAAACTGGTTTCTTAAACATGAAAACAACTAAACAGTGTGGTATTAATAATAATAATAAAATAATAATGTCACACGTTTATGACATGGTAGAAAGTCATACATATCTGGTAATAAACTGCATTATTAAATTAATCTGAAATCCTCCTTATGAGTCCGCAATTATTAATAATTTATACGGAGTGCAGGTTACTGTAAACGTTGTATTTTGACATTGGAGAGAAGTTGAATACCTCAATACTAATGTGATCGATTTTGAATCATTATTGTCTGATGTTATTAACCATCATCATCATCATCATCATCATCTCGTAGACTTGGATCTTATCACCTAACGTTTTCATCCATGGATTACACACTTATTTCAAATCTCCAACCTGAAAGCTTCCATATTTTAAACACATATCCTGTTTAACAATAGACTAATTTGTCATTTATGTCTAACTTTCTTCTATTTCTTCTCCTCTTAGTTTCAATATTAGGGATAACATAGGAATCCAGGGTTAAAATTGACAAAGTATGGTGTAAGAATTGTCATGACTTTTTTCATCGATAAAAATTCATAGCGCTATCAATCAATTTATCATTTTGATTGCATACTTTCTATCTAACCTCATTATTATTCATTTGGTAAATAGTATCATCATTATCTAGTCCATGTTTAATGGACATTACTGGATGTGCTGTTTATTTTTGTATTATGCAACATTATTATTATTATTGTTATTACGATTAACATTAACTTCATATCTTTCTTTCTACGAACTAATTCTTTCTTTCTGTACTTTATCCTTATTGTATGCAATCATTCTTTCATTTATTACCACCTCTGAATTAACTACTTTTATGAATCCGGTGTCCATCTTGTTGTGTTAATGAGGTATGGCAACTTGGACCGATGCATATATATGCCTGGTCCTACGTTGTAACTAACTGACTGACTGACTATGATATTCGTAGCATTTATCTTGTATTGTATTAGTATAACATGAATGTTTAGTTTAGCTATTCTTGTAAGTAGTAAATTTTCTGGTTTGCTTGATCCCCAGTCTACCCCGGATATCGCCGAAAGTGAAGAGAGTTCAATCTCTCCTTTTTAAAATACTCTCATATGATTAAGTGTATATAGCCTACTGTTAGAGAAGTTCTACTCACTACCTTTTCGTGGTAGTAATTGTTGTCTTATACAACATAAGTTTATATCTCATAAAACGATGAATAATACATGAAAACCAACATAATTGATAAACAAATTGCATCACATGAATTACATAATAATTTAATCAAATAATATTTTTCATATTTTATAAGATTTAGTTGCCAAATTAACCTACCTAACTACTTACCTACCTACCTACCTACCCACGTACATACATACATACATACATACATACGTACTTACGTATACACATGTACGTACATATGCCATTTCATCATTCTTGATATCATAGTCATTGTTTTGCTTCTCTCGTTTTTATATTTTAGTGAATTCTTCAAATGAAAATCAAACAGTCCATTCAACAAATCAGTATTCTAAACTATCTTCTCCTTACGAATCAAATAATAATGATGATAATAATCATAATTATTATAATAATGTAAGTGTTGTTAGTTGTGTTCAATAAATATATTCAATAATAATATCAGTTAAATGGTGGTTTAATGATTTAAATAATAATTGACTGATATTTATTCAGGTTACAAGTTCGGTCCAAAAGGTTCTAATAAGACTCGAATGATCTATAAGCTTCATAAATATGAAGTCTCTGACGAATTACCGACAAATAAGAGTCGAAATAGTGTGATCATTAAAAAAAATTCATTAAAGTTCATCTATATACTACAGTCCCACTCAAGAGTCAATGATTTGAGGGAAGTCTTACAAATAAGGCAGAATATTTCTCAAGGTTCCACCTTTTACAAATTATTCACCTAACAATGAGTACTGTTATATTTATACAACCATTTATTACTTTGAGTATGGGGGTTTGTAAAAGTTGCTAAATGTTAATGAAATTATGAACCAGCTTAAAATAGACAATTATTAAAAATCAGAAGGAACAGGAAAGTTGTTTCATTCAAGCGTGAAACTCCTCAACAGTGTATATCCACAACTCTACCAAAGTTCGATCCTGGTGGGATAATAATGATGAATATGCACTGCTGAGAAGTATATATTACTTACCATCCCAATCATTTATTTTATTTTATTTGAACACATAAATACTGGGGGCACCGAATACATACGCGTCACACAAGTCACTCGATTTATGTGTGGGATATGATACTGCCCGCGTGCCCAAATCAAAGCAGGTGGTTTTCTTAGGAGGGCACACCCAGAGACTCCGACCTAAAGGTCTAGTCCACGATGCACTGGAGTAACATTTGGAGATCCAGTCCCATGGTAGCCGGTAACCAACAATTGGTTCATACGCCATCCGGTCCCTAAGGATCCTGGAGCCTATGTACACCATTGGTTTGGAATCAGGGTTTTCCAACTCACTTAGGTGGATCTTCCTATATCCACCAAACTTGTTAAATCACTGAACATTCGCTTTTCGTCTTCTCAATGTCGTAAATAACACCCGTAGTGCGAGAAAAGGCAGTGAGTAAAACTTTCCTAACAGTGATTGTATGCACATAACCATGTGTGAGAGCATTTCGAGAAAGAGATCTGACTCTCCATATTCTCAGCATTTGGAGGCATTTCAATCATTACTGAAAATATTAAAAAAAACAGTAACAATAATAAAGTAGATAATCTAATTTATTTTACGTTTACAAATCATTAACCAATAAAACAAAACAAGAACAAACTTTTACTCACTCTCTCTCTCTCTTTGCCTTATTGTTTTCAGTATCAAAGGCATTTGATTCATTCATTCATTCATCTATATAAAAAAAAGTTCTGTACAGAAACAAATGTGTATGTATAACGATAGGGAAAATCAATCGAAAGGAATTCTAATCATCATCATCATAATAATAAGACGAGTCATTAGTAAACACGAATAGACTTTAACAATAAATATCACACAATGAAAATAGAAAAGTATTTTATTTCAATTAATCAATGGAACATCTTTCTGATCAAATTAAACACTTAAAATAAGTGATTATACAATTTGTTTTTTAACAAAATACATTCATATGTGATAGTAATATGTTGGCGCAGTGGGTATATGTGTTTCTGGGTGGGTGGGGGGTTGGTAACGGAGAGCGATGGGGGGGGTGTGGAGGAAACAACTCATATAAAGAGATTAAAACTATAAGAATTTAAAGAAGAAAAAATAGTTGTGTACAGGGATATTGTGCTGTTTTGTATTGTTTTTTTTCGTTCCTTTTAATATTATTAACGATTGAACCAAATTTTTGAGAAAACTGGGGGTGGGGTGGGAAACAACCAAACAATTAGAGTAAACAAAGTTTTTGATTTTAAGTTAAAGTAGAAAAAAATACATCAAGCCGTTTAACCCCTGTTATTATTTAGTTGTTTACTGATGCATTTGTAAGAAAAATAATAAATTATTCGGTAAATAAGCTTGAACTGATGGATTCGATGCAGTTAATCCATAATGATTTGCTACACGAGCAGCATGACAAGCTAAAGTCACATGATCCAAGATTTGTACACGAGATTCTAGGAGTACATGATGAAAACGTTTATAGAGGATAGTTAGAGAATTCCGATTGGTTGCATCTAAATGAGCACCACATTTAACCAGAGTATGAACAAGAGAGGCCTACCAAAAAATGGATAACATATGAATGAAAATAAATAAATATATTTAAAGCGAGAGTCAATTATTGAATAGTACTTCAATGTTGAATGTTGTTAGATTTACAGGTATTGAACGGATTCAGTCGATCAAGTGATCAATAAGTTAATTGATCCAAAGAAGATCTGAGACCTTTTTCATGTTAGTCGTTGGGACTCATTAGCTGAGTATATCCACAATCTAAAGAACTGACTATGACACAGAATTCAATCTCACGCGAAACAATAATCCTCTAAAAATCGTCCATATGTCACATAGTCTACTTACGAGAAACATTAGTTAATAAGATGTCTCTAAGGAAATAAGTTAACAAGATGATATGTAGGTGAACAAAATAACGACTGGTTGCTTACGTAATCAGACTACTAGATAATCTGATAGGTATTAGGCTTGTTATTTACTTTCCGACCCCTTTTTATCATTATTGTTGTCGGTTGTTGACATTGAAATACAATCACGTTTTAGTCAGACCAGTCACGTGTTCTTGAGCTTAGTTGTGCTGATGTCTACTATAATAGACACTTGCAGGGTATCATCTAGTGTAGATATTCGTCTAAGGCAACTCATTGTCCCATTGGTGTAAAGGAGAAAATTTAGAGTCATTTCAGTGGCGACGGTAGTTGAAACGGACCTACACGTATATACTCAGTCAAAGTGGATTTTATATCAATAAAATGAATAATCTGAAATCATTATTGAAACAGCAAAATGCTCTTATCGAATTGTTGGTCAAGAATATGTCGATATCTTGAAAAATGCAGGTATCTAATTCTACTATGACTTCGAATACTGAGATTATTATTATAAAAACTCCGAGTTTTATTCTCTTAAAGAATCCAGCCGACCTAACCTTCTTGGGAACAGTAGAGTGCCTGACATATATATTTGATGGAACGATCATCAATGTTTCACATTAGATACTAGTGTCTTCAGTTTGTAAAAAAAACCACAGGATGACTAAGTGACGTATGTCAACATCGCGAACCGGGAATGTGAGTAGTTCCGAATACAGGAAATATCGCCAGACCAGTTTAGATGTTTTACTTTTGTGTGTGGATTACGATCAGCGGCAGATACAGATATCACAACACGGATGCCACACAAATCACTTGATTTGTGTGTGGGCTGTGTTACTGCCCGGGTGCCCAGACCGAAGCAGGTTATTGTCTCTAGGTTATAAGTAACAGTTGATGCGAATCCATGACATTGAAATGAATTCTTCTTATTCTGCTACATTTGTTATTTTCGCTTTATCAGAATGGAGATTTGTGAAGACTGTAGATCGGCTCATGAATCCACTTGTTAAAATTACTACAATCTCCACAAATCCTTATTCTGATAATAATCGTGTGCTGATTATTGACTAGCTTCAAGATGGAACACCTGGAGTTCTGGTGAGAAGTCGTGACTAATTGAGACAGTTATTCACTTTTGACAATGGATGAAATGTTGCGCAAGAACATAAATTAATTGAAATTAGATATTAACAGTGCTGGATGCCAACTCGGTGGTCTAGAGGCTAAACCTTCGTGTGCTAGACCAAAGGCCCTGGGTTTGAGTCCCACGTGAGAGATCGTGAGTGTACACCACTGCAGAGTCCCAGACTAGGACGAAATGGCTTTCCAGTGCTTCCGAGTTTTCACTCGTCGTCTAGCCTAGGTCGACTCATAAATTCAGCTGTTAAATTTTTACTCTAGCTAAATTTATCAAAGAAAAAAACGCTAGACTTCTGTAATTAAATGTTTTTGAATCATGATTGAACAAGGACTCAAAGATTCCTTTTCATTTAATGAAATGAATCCGTATTATATGGGCTATTATGTGCACAGGTACTTCGATGGAATATTGAAATAGAATATTTACAAAATATGGATGAAAATACACTTCCTGGATTCGACTACCTACCTGAAAAGTAGAAAACAAAGCAGAAAAATTACATATAATTCAATGTGGAATAAAATGCTCACAAACACACACGCATATATTATAAGTATATATATTCATATACATACATGTTCAGAACTTTTTAATCGACGTTGTGCTAAAACATGACCAATCGGACGTTGTCCATCAACATCAGCACAATTAGCATCAGCGCCTAATTCAAATAGCAAAGATAAAACATTGACATTTGGAAAAGTACAAATTACAAAACGACCAACAGTTGAAGTTTCTGGTGAACAAGCTAAATGTATTAAACTTTGACCACGATGTACTCTAGGATCTAACTTGACTAATCTATAAACCTAGATAAAAAATAATAAAGAAAATGTTTGTCAATAAATTGAATGGATAATTCTTTATTTGACGAACAAAATCGATTAACTGCACATACATTACCTTGTTCAAGGTGAAATAATTATTTACTTAATAGTTGAGATCATGAGTCAATTGAAGATAGACCACCATGGAAAAACTGGAAGCACTGGACGACCGTTTCGTCCTAGTATGGGGCTCCCCAGCAGTGCGCATCCACGACCCCAACTCGCGAGATGGGAATCCAGGACCTATCAGTCTCGCACACGAGCGCTTAACCACTAGACCAGGTTTTCCATAGGGCTCTAGCTTCAATTAACTCATGAAAACAACCATTAAATTACTATAATATTCATACAAAATAACCTTCACTGGTTATAATTGTTTATTTATTGTAATTATATAATGAACATTGAATCTATTCGAAATGAAACAATACAAACCTATCGCTTACACATTATTTATAAAAACAATTAATTAGTGAATTAGACATTAAAGAATTCAGTCATCAATCGTTAAGTCCCAGGTTCGAGATCAGCTTCATCTTGGCATCTAATTAGTAATCAATAACTCCTTGCAAATGAGTTACATTAAACTAATGAAAATTATTCAAAACGGTGATCTGTGATCGATTAATGAACAACAATAGACAGCCCCAAAATGCCCTGGTATGCCAAGAGTGGGGTGGGCCCGCCCTCCTCGAAATGCTCTCACACAGACACGCGTATACAGCCTATGCCAGGAAAGTCCTACTCACTGCCTTCTCGTGGCGGGGGTGTTGTTTACGAAATTGAGAGGACGAAAAGAGAATGTCCGGCACTTTAGCCGGATCCCAAACCAATGGTGCACATGGGCTCCAGTATCCTGCGGGAACGAATTGCGTATGAACCAATCGTCGTTCACCGGCTACCATGGGACCGCATCTCTTCACGATGCTCAACTGCCTTGTGGATCAGACCTCTAGGTCAAAGGCACGGGGTGTGGCCCCCTGGGAAGACCACCTGCTTCGGTCTGGGCACCCGGGCAGTATAACACCCCACATACAAATATGATGAAATGTCGATATTTATGGAAAATACTTTTCTTACTTCGATCAACAATCAAACGATTCACATTATTATTATTATTACTACTATTGTTACTATTATTTTTTACGTCATATATTCACTCTCTTTTATTCCCACTCTGTCTATCCTTACTTTTTGACTTATACAGCAGCTCGCCTATAATGAGAACTCGGTTCTATCTAAACGTCCTCGAGTTACAGACTGGTTGAAAATTGTATGCTACCACCAAATACGAATACTGAAGCAGTTTTTCTGAAACCACGTGCACCATTCAAACTGGCTGCCTTCAACGTTCGCACACTTATGCAGGTCGGACAACAGATAGGACTGGCTATGTCTTTGCAATGTCTATCCGAGACCCGTATTCAATACTCTGGTGAAGTACTACAAATTCGCTGTCCATGTGTCGCTTCGAAAAGCTTGTTTTACGTGCGTTTATCTGACGACCCTGTGGCATCTTCCGTCTGGTCTTGCTGGGGTTGCCCAATCACACCATTCCTCTTCAACTGTGCCATCGATGACATTCTGGAAACAGCTCTGATGGATGTAATTAATAGCGGTGTGGATCTGTTGTCTGGAGAAAGACTTCTCCACCTTGAGTATGCGGATGATATTGTTTTACTGTACGATAATGCCCAAGCCATGCAATCCGCACTTAATTAGTGTTCGTAAGTATGGTAAGTGTTTTGCACCTTCGAAGTGCAAAGTACTTCTGCAAGACTGGCAGCATTCTAATCCTCTACTCACCCTCCATGGTGAGCAGATAGAAGTAGTCGAGAAGTTCGTGTATCTGGGTAGCTGCATAAGTGCTGGTGGGGGTGTGAGTGATGAGATCAATGCACGTATAGTGAAAGCCAGAGCGGCTTATGCCAATCTGGGCCACCTTTGGCGCCTTCGTGATGTCAGTCTGGCTGTAAAATGTCGGGTCTACAATGCGTCGGTGAGAGCAGTTCTACTCTACGCTTGTGAAACCTGGCCTCTCCCAGTTGAGGATGTTAGACGACTCTCTCTGTTCGATCGTCGCTGTCTCCGAAGGATTGTTGACATCCAGTGGCAACACCATGTCAGTAATGCAGAGGTTCAGCACCGTGTGTTCGGGCGCAGAGACGATAATCTAATCGGTGTCAGCATCTTGAAACATCGACTTCGAGGGCTTGGACATGTTCTACGAATGTCGTCCCAGAGAATTCCACGTCGTGCATTGTTTGCCGACTCTGGGACTGGTTGGAAGAAGCGGAGAGGTGGTCAGTGCATGACATGGTGTCGTGGTATGAAAGGCTGCAAAGGATGGCTTCTGTTGATCCTTCACGACTCCCTGGCTGGGGTCCGAGAGATGGTGCTACGCAGTGGCTAGAGACATTATCAGATATGGCTCAGAATAGAAGCCAGTGGCGATCCTGACGTAAACTTCTTTTACTTTCTTCATAAAAAAAAGTGGTTGTATCTTCCTTAACTGAAAGATTTCTTCTAGTTGTAACTTCCCGTCTCCCCCATTATTACTATTACTACTATTATTAATTATTACACTACCTTACACTAATCTGTTCGTTATTGTGTTTTTTTTTCTCTTTAAATTCTCATTGTTTTGTGTGGTGCATATATATTTGGTGCCCTCTTGTACCAATATTTATGTGTTCAAATAAATAAATTACATAGTATTGTAAATTCCTTTCAACTAGTGATTTCATTATACTACACTTTGCATTCAGGCTCATAAACGTCAATGTCTATTCATATTATCTAGTTCTTAATAATTAGTCGAAATTTTGTCTGTCTATCAGGTGAACTAATATCTAGTGATCTAATTACCAAGAGGTATTACTTAATGTACTGTGGTGTTTGAATGGACTAATGATATTTTTGTACTGGTTGAATGTTTGATTTCGAATTCTAAATACAGTACATTCGTTGTGTCTGTGTCTTCTTAGTTCAATTGCGTTAATCCTGGAATTCCTAGTTCATACTATAATTAGAATATTATATTGGCGTCGTGATGGAACCTGCAATGGAAAAGTTGGATATTCATTCAACTCCTGAAGATATTGAGGATTATTTGGAAAGGTTCGAAATTTGGAGCATGACAAAAGAAGATGATGAGGATGTTAATATTGTGGCACACTTTCTCACATTCATTGGGAGAGAAGCGTACAGCTTATTAAAAACTCTGGCATATCCAGAAAAACCTATCTCACTCCCTTATGAAACTCTTAAAGAGCTATTATTAAGTCATGTAAAATGCACCCGTTTTGAATGCCGTGAAAGGGCAAAGTTTCATAAGATGATCCGTCAAAATGACCAAAAGGCTCGGGAATTCATCCTTGAATTACAGAAACAAGCCGCCAAGTGTAATTTCGGTGATCAACTTCATGTGCAACTGAGAGATCGATTAATTGCAGGAATTAATATGCCGAGTTTGGAAAGAGAGCTGTTAAAAATGCCAAACTGTTCCTTTCAAGATGCTAGGACTGCGTGTATTAACTACGAAGCAGTGAATGAACTTGATATCCAGTCGATGAAGATTTCTGTTACTTTGCTTAGTCGTCATGATGAACTACAATCTCAGGGTCAATCAAATTTGCGTTCATTTAACAGTGATTCCTATTCTCGTGTAAATATGAAAGGTGTTTCAACAAGGAATTACAAAGCAAATCACAAAGGTGAGATGAAGTTTGGTAAATGTTTATCATGTGGAAAGTTTCATGCTCGCAATTCATGTGTATTTCGTAATGCTAAATGTTTTAAATGTGGTAAGGTAGGACACATTCAGTCAGTATGCAAAGCTACTGTCCATTTTGCTTCAAGCTGTACTAAATCTTGTAATTTAAATTTCAATAATTCGGCTGTTTCTAATGATCATTTATCTTTATCAACGATTTCAAAAGACAGTGCAGAGTCATATGACAGTTCAGAGTTATATGAAATCCAGAATTCTTGTGAGGCAACAGTTCCTAATCAACCGATTTATCAGAATTCTCATGCTATTGTACCAGGTATGACTTTTCCTAATGATTCACATATTTCTAATGAAATTACTTGCAATTCTGAGGAAAATATGTTAAATGAACGTAATCATGATCGAAAATCTGATGTGGTTAGGATAGATGCTGGTTTTTCTAACGATCCTACGCTCTGCAATGACAGTCCTAATGAATTTCATGAGAATATTTCAGAAGAATCAAATCCTGATGTCGTATCATATATTACCTATCCTCATAATGCATTCGATCCTTGTGAAAAACCTGCTCAATGCGAAGCACGAGTACTAAGTGACCTCAAGTTTGATTACATTTCGGATGATTTCATATCAACTGCTGTTTACCCTTATCGCAAAAACAGTTCTAATGTTTACTCTAAACATTGTGAGAAATATGTTTTAAATGAAGCCACATTATTCATAACCTGGGGATATAAAGATCCAACATTATTTCGTGGGGGAGGATAGTGTTGAAAAACCTATGGTTCGAATTCTAGATATTAATGATTTCATTACAAAACCGACATGCTGGTTGTATACAATTCCAGATACTACAAAGTTTTTATCTTACACAATGTCGGACAGACTCAGAATGAACTTAACAAGAAGACGTACAACCGATTACAAACACTTATACTTCTATTTAAGCTGTGGCGGATGTGGTGTTTGAATGGACTAATGATATTTTTGTACTGGTTGAATGTTTGATTTCGAATTCTAAATACAGTACATTCGTTGTGTCTGTGTCTTCTTAGTTCAATTGCGTTAATCCTGGAATTCCTAGTTCATACTATAATTAGAATATTATATGTACCCAGTCGATTATTCATTGTAGTTTCGTATTATATATCGAAAGTCAACAAAATAATCAGAAAAATAAATTTTCTATAATATTGTCTGCACTTTACATCATCAGGTCTAATAGTCCGATATCTCATATTTAATATATTATGATTTGAATAACCTAGAGTTTAGAAGACCATACATATGTAACCGATTTTGAACTACGTCAGTTGAGATCTTCTATCTATCGATAGATTATGAAAACTTATATTCCACTATAATTAAAAGTCCGGTTGGCATTTGCCAACTTACATTATTTGTTGAGTAGGCAAGATACCTGTTTCCCAATCAAAAGACGAGTGTCCTGTACAGTAGTGAGCTCCATTCTATTTTATGGGTATGAGAATATTCGTAGGTTACTAGTATTCCATAATATCAATCTTCCAAGAAGTGCTAGTACATGTTAGTACCACTGAGTTAGAGAATCTGAGGTCAGACGTAGAGTACTAAGGGTGGCAAACTACATGACGAGGAGGCAGGTCTTTATTGACCAAGATAGTTGGAATAAATATGACGTATGCCCACTCACCATCTACCTATAAGCCTGATGATGACTGGTGTAAATGTAGGTTGGAAGAAAGCTATACGTGGACAAACAAAGACATGAAGACACTGAATGTTAAGTCATGTAAGCAAGTGAAGACTACCTGGTTACAGTCCACGTGATCATCGTAACCAAAGAATGCACGAAGTGAAAGAACAGCGATTGCATCTGTGTCATTGAGACTGATAATTAAATTAAGCATTGAGGATAAAAGATAGAAAAGAACAGACGAGATAAGGTGATAAGAAATATTTCAAATGTAAGTTTACGAACCTCTCCGTTGTTTGTGTTAAGGACTACAATTGACCAGTTTCGATTTCGACATTAGTCATAAGTATTTGTAAGTAAATTTTATAGAGTGGTTAACAGTGGAATCTAAGAAGCGTGAGTTTTTTTTCAGTTTGAGACTTGTCAGATGGATGTATTTACCACATCCCAGTATTGATGTTCACATCGAGACTCGAACCCCGTTTCTTTCGCTCTAAACACCGAAACTGATAACCACTACAATCCAACTGTGCTCAAAAAGGAAATAAGAAATATAAAATGATATCAGTATTCCGAATCTAATGAAAGATATATGTTGAATATATCTAGATTACAGTGACCAACTTCGAGCCATATCCATCAATCATTGATCATGATTATCACGGTAGAGTGCAAACAGATAATGTACAAATACCATCATGAATAAGACCAATAATTAATCAATTCATCGATTGATCAGTCAGTCAGTCAGCTACAACGTAGGACCAGGCATATATATGCATCGGTCCAAGTTGCCATCCCCCATTAACACAACAAGATGAACACCATATTCATAAAAGTAGTTAATTCAACGGTGGTAATATATAAAAGAAAGATTGCATATAAGGATATAGTACAGGAAGAAAGAATTCTTTTGTAGAAAGAAAGATACGAAGCGATTTTAATCTCTTAGCTTAATGGAAGACCGTTGTTGCTACCTTGACGTGGTGGTCGGGCTCGCCTATCTTGATGAAACAACCAAGCTATACTGGCTGGAACAACCGTTCCTCAAGGTCCTACCATGTCAGACAGGTCAGTTGAAGAGCGGTAAGACTAAAAGCAACAAACCCAAGGTCCGAAGGCGAAGTCGTACTGCTGACTGTACAGAGGTGTGGCAGCAGTAAAGTGTTTCCTTCAGACAACCAGCATGACAGCGATGCTGCCTCCCCATAAGGAGAGGTTGGGTTAGAAAAGGTCGACCCTAAAAATGCACACCTCGCCTTATCCCACAAATATCCGTCTCCGGTGGTAAGGTCTCAACAAGTACAGAGCTAACACAAAGATTACTCATAAAAAGGTCGTGTGTGACCGACCTCAAGCAGTTGTCTCTTGAGCACTGCGGTCACGCTCTCAGGTCGCTAAGGCCACCTCTAATCCAATTTCCTTTTCAGGTACTTGCACAAGAACCCTTCTAAGGCGTGGGCAACCGATGAGTGATAACCGCCCTCATACCTCTAACAGCACTCAAGACCACTGTATTCATAAGCATCGATTGATGCTCCATCTTAGTTTGAACACCTTCCAAATTTCTTCACACTTGATTTCTACGCCAGCTAACGTTACATGACAAGTCCTATCACCACATTCATAGTACCATCAACTAATTCATCATTGTTTGAAGATAATGAAGTAATTTTCATCATATAGAGAAGTAATTCACTTACTTGACGGAAAAATCGTTGTTTCAATTCAATTGGCATACGTTTTTTCATATCATTAGATAAACTATCTGTTTGTGATTCATTTTCAGTACTACTATTATTATTATTACTAATTAGCTCTTGTTGATTAAGCATAATATTTGATAAATTCAATGTAGAATTTTGTAATAATTCATTAAAATTTTCTTCAACTACTTGTGTTAAATTAGATAATTGACGTCGAATAGAACGTATGGTTGGTAAAGCTTTACAATTTGGCATATAATGAATAAGAATCATTGCTATAAAATGTAAACATAATGATACATGACGCATTAAATTAATCGCTTCTTTATCCGCTGCTGTATATGACCATGGATGTCGATGATGCCAATGATAAAATGAATAATCCATTCCACTATTGTTGATCATTAGGAAGAAAGAAAAAAAGAGGAAATGCATATATCAGTACACATACTACTCTGTCCAATAAATACACAGATCAAGATTGTGAAAACTACAAAATTTTCAGAGTTATCAATATGTTATCTGTTGGGGATGTTAGATCCTCAGAGCTCACTTGACAAATACTTTATTTTTGTAATTCTATTTTAAACATTTGAATTTCTTGTGTTCGCGCCAAAATCTTCCATTCTCACTTTTGTTTACCATTTGGGAGGGCCTTAAGTGTTATTGGTTCGTTGTCACTTTTAATATGCTATTTTGTAACGCTTCCCAATGACATTTTTATACTGTATATATAGGCTTGATTTGTGCTTTGTTGTCATTGCTCGTGCTTCTGGCTGCTTGTGGAATACATTTCCCTCTTCTGAACTCGGAATTCTCTTTCTAGTTAGCGGGACTGGGACGTGTCGGAATAGTTAGCTTAGCTGTCATTGTGTCACAGAGTTATCGTTCCGTTCTCGGGTTAAGTGAACTCGTAATCTCTTCAAATACAGCATTATCTCCTATTTTGACTACGCCCCAAACTCCAGTTATGGTGATATGTATATATACACACATATTTGTTTCATTAGTTTTGATTGTTTAAAACATGCAGGAAATCAAGTTCTTCAAAACCCTTCCAATCATTGCTGTTATTTATCGTTTTCGAACCGTGCTAGTGCCGCCGCCTTCCACCTATATAGTCTATCTATATTTAGAAGACAAAAATAAATCTCAAGAAGACAGGTTTGGTGATTAGGGAGACTGGTGCTCTTGAGTGCTCATAAGATTGCTAGTAAGAAACTCGCAAACGAACCCTGTTGAATAATCATAATTCATTAGTGGCCAGTGTCATTACATATGATTGTTCAAGTGCTTGAAAACCTTCTTATCTATCACGATAAAAGGAAGAATTCACTGGTTATCTTTCAAGAAGAAATTTATGGCAAACAATACCATGAATATAAGGGTTTTTATAAATGTCCATTTAGCTAATCAATAATGTATAAGATTCGTATTATTTGCTGAGATGCTTTTAGAAAACACAACATACTGAATACTGTAAAATACAAACAGAAACTTATAGCTGATGATAAGTATGTCTTTTCCACTTTGTCTATCCCCTCTGTGGTAACAAAGCGACACTAATTGAATCATTGTCGCTATGCTCGAACACACAATAGTGAACCAGCCTGCTCCAAGCGAGTCACTTTCTTGGATTTTGGACAAACTACGAAGCATTGGCCGGATACCATCAGCAACAGCCTTCTCTGGGAGAGAACAAACCAGCTTACAGCTGAAGACGAAATTAGGAAAAGACGATGGAAATGGATAGGACATACATTACGCAAATCGTCAAACTGCATCACGAGACAAGCCTTAACTTGGAATCCTGAAGGGAAGCGGAAAAGAGGAAGGCCAAATAACACATTACGTCGGGAAATAGAAGCAGATATGTAAAGGATGAATAACAACTGGAAGGAGCTAGAAAGGATTGTTGAGGACAGGGTTGGATAGAGAATGCTGGTGAGTGGCCTATGCTCCTTCACGAGGAGTAACAGGCTTAAGTAAGTAAAGAGATTATATAGAAAAATGGATAATAATCATTAAAAGTTACTTACCGTTCAATATTATCAACAGCTAATTCTAAACAATCTACAATTAATGTTGGATCTAAATCTTTTGCTGGTAAACCAATACAATTATTTGTTAATACAAAATGAAATAATTCAGCAAAACTAACAAATGCAGCTTGTGATACATGACATAATGGTTCAACAAATGTACGTTGTAATTCTAATGCATAACGCCATAAACTTAAACATTGATGAAAATTATCTGCATCTGCATAAATTGCTCCACGATAACTATAAAAGAAAAAAGGGAAAAATACAGAAGAATAATGGTTAAGAAAACGAACAGTATCACTATTTATTTATTTATTTACACGCATAAACATTGGTACAAGGAGGCACCAAATAGATATGTACCACATAAATCATTCGATTTTTGTGAGGGCTGGAATTCTGACCGGGTGCCCAAATCAAAGCAGGTGGTTTTCTTAGGGCGCCACATCCGGAGACGTTGACCTAAAGGTCTAATCCACAAGGCACTGGAGCAACATTTGGAGATCCAGTCCCATGGTAGCCGGTAACCAACGGTTGGTTCATATATCATTCGTTTTCTAAGGATTCTGGAGCCTATGTACACCAATGGTTTGGAATCAGGGTTTTCCAACTCACTTAGGTGGATCCACCAAACCTGTTAAATCACCGGACATTCGTTTTTCGTCATCTCAATTTCGTAAATAACATCCCTCGCGGCGTGCTCCAGTATCTTGGTCATGTCAGATGAGTCGTGGTGCAAATTATTATAATGGTAGACATGTTTGTTTCTATTCAGTTGTAGGCGCGTGTAGAAATGTGAAATAATCTTTAAGAAAACTACTTATTGTTTGTAATGTCAAATCGACGACTTAATTTATTTTGAAAACTATGGAATGCTAGAAAATACTGGATAGATGTTTCGACTTATTATGAAAACCCACAACAATCCTCAATCACAATTCAGAACTTTCATGTCTCCTGACCTGATGAATAACGGTTGTTGATATGTGGTGAATATGTATTTGGTGCCCCATTGCACCAGTGTTTATGTGTTCAAATAAATAAATAATGACAGTTGTTGATGTGAAACTTTATCTTCACAGTACCCAATAACTTATTATGATGTATTAAAATATAAATGAATCATTAAAAAAAACACTGTTCCATTAAAAATAATAACACTTATTTATGCTTACTTTACAATGTAGTAATTAGATATGAGATTCAATGGCAAGGGATGGTAAAGGATTTGAAAGTCCAACCCATTGACATGGTTGATTAGTGGTTTAAAGTACTTGGTATCCAGCCAAAATATCAGTCTTCCTGGTTCGACAATCACGAGGACCTTAGCCCAGTAGTCTACACCTATTAACATGGCTCAGTCCAGTTGTCAATAACTTCGTAGGGGGCTGCCATGTTTTGGCTTGGCCGCCCCTAGCCTTCTTCCAGACTACTCCCATACCAGACAACACATAGAAGTAGGTGGTGGTGGAGTATACGCATCACATATCCAAACCACTTCAGTTAATGAAGAATTACTATCTCATCAATCAATTTACCATCTTTACCTGGAGAGCCATTCCTAACCGAGGCATTCTTTACACTGCGATCCCAAAGTTAACGAGCAATGCTTCAAAGATGGTGGAATACTAGTGACTAACAAATATCTTCTACTTCACACTTATCAATTAGAGAATCTCGAAAAAACTAAGACAAAACATTACCCCCTTGATTTTCACCAACCCTCCGGCACTAATGTATGCGGTAAAAACAACAAATTTATGTAAAATAAAACACTTTAATTACCGGATAAAATAAATGGTATCTGGATGATCTGGACCTAATATACGTAAGCGTATAAGCAATGATTGTAAGCGTAGAACATGTGTATTTGACATTAAACTGGCTAGATCTTCACGTGTTTGAAATTCACAAACATGTCCAAAAGCTTCTTCACCACATTGTTTTAATCGACGAATTAACGGATGATTTTCAGTAGCAAAATGACACACTGGACAAACATATTTAAGATTATTCTCATTCTGTTAAAAGATAATCGAATAAAAACACGGTGAATAAGTTAAAAAAAGGCGGTTGTCACTTTCCAGTTAGTTAATAGCCAATACAGAAATATAATCTTCCTTTTTGCCCTGATAATCCGTAAGGTTTTATGAAATACGTTTGAGTCTAAGTTCAACAGTCAAACCTAAAAAATAGAGACGGTTGCTGACTGACCGTCAGTAGTATATTCTACCCGTTTACAGTATTCCAGTAGCTTAGATAATAGTAACCAACTAGGTTATCTGGATTATCTTCAATAAAAATGTTCATTTTTAGGTTCAACAGTTTGAGGTGTAAAATAAAAAATGCTAGTCTAACCCACCTATTCTACATTTCACGACCCTATCCCAAATGGACTAATGATCTTTCAACATTTAACTAGTCTAAATAGCAGCAAATAGTATCCAATATGGAACTCACTTAGATAGGGTGTGCAAAAAAGTTGGTAGCCATTCAATGCACAAAAGTTAAGTGACTGTATAATTCAGCAACAAAGTACAAACTTATAAGTACTATATTTTTATACTTTCAAGTTATGATCGATGACTATCAACCCATTATGATATACCGGTTGAAATCATGATTGAATTGTATCTCCTCCGTCGATTATACACTAATCTCATTTATTTATTATTTTATTGTACTTCCTTCTTGTTGTTTAATTTCTTATCATCATGTTACTTTTGTTTATATGTTAGATACTCTTTTGATATCTAACAGTAACAGAATATATGTATGCATCAAACAGGTATGGTGATGTTATCGAACTGTTTCAAAATTGAAGTAATTAGAGTGGGACTCGAACTTGTAACCTGAATAAATATCAGTCAATTATTATTTAAATCATTAAACCACCATTTAACTGATATTATTATTGAATATATTTATTGAACACAACTAACAACACTTACATTATTATAATAATTATGATTATTATCATCATTATTATTTGATTCGTAAGGATAAGATAGTTTAGAATACTGATTTGTTGAATGGACTGTTTGATTTTCATTTGAAGAATTCACTAAAATATAAAAACGAGAGAAGCAAAACAATGACTATGATATCAAGAATGATGAAATGGCATATGTACGTACATGTGTATACGTAAGTACGTATGTATGTATGTATGTATGTATGTACGTGGGTAGGTAGGTAGGTAGGTAAGTAGTTAGGTAGGTTAATTTGGCAACTAAATCTTATAAAATATGAAAAATATTATTTGATTAAATTATTATGTAATTCATGTGATGCAATTTGTTTATCAATTATGTTGGTTTTCATGTATTATTCATCGTTTTATGAGATATAAACTTATGTTGTATAAGACAACAATTACTACCACGAAAAGGTAGTGAGTAGAACTTCTCTAACAGTAGGCTATATACACTTAATCATATGAGAGTATTTTAAAAAGGAGAGATTGAACTCTCTTCACTTTCGGCGATATCCGGGGTATATTGAGGATCAAGCAAACCAGAAAATTTACTACTTACAAGAATAGCTAAACTAAACATTCATGTTATACTAATACAATACAAGATAAATGCTACGAATATCATAGTCAGTCAGTCAGTTAGCTACAACGTAGGACCAGGCATATATATGCATCGGTCCAAGTTGCCATACCTCATTAACACAACAAGATGGACACCGGATTCATAAAAGTAGTTAATTCAGAGGTGGTAATAAATGAAAGAATGATTGCATACAATAAGGATAAAGTACAGAAAGAAAGAATTAGTTCGTAGAAAGAAAGATATGAAGTTAATGTTAATCGTAATAACAATAATAATAATAATGTTGCATAATACAAAAATAAACAGCACATCCAGTAATGTCCATTAAACATGGACTAGATAATGATGATACTATTTACCAAATGAATAATAATGAGGTTAGATAGAAAGTATGCAATCAAAATGATAAATTGATTGATAGCGCTATGAATTTTTATCGATGAAAAAAGTCATGACAATTCTTACACCATACTTTGTCAATTTTAACCCTGGATTCCTATGTTATCCCTAATATTGAAACTAAGAGGAGAAGAAATAGAAGAAAGTTAGACATAAATGACAAATTAGTCTATTGTTAAACAGGATATGTGTTTAAAATATGGAAGCTTTCAGGTTGGAGATTTGAAATAAGTGTGTAATCCATGGATGAAAACGTTAGGTGATAAGATCCAAGTCTACGAGATGATGATGATGATGATGGTTAATAACATCAGACAATAATGATTCAAAATCGATCACATTAGTATTGAGGTATTCAACTTCTCTCCAATGTCAAAATACAACGTTTACAGTAACCTGCACTCCGTATAAATTATTAATAATTGCGGACTCATAAGGAGGATTTCAGATTAATTTAATAATGCAGTTTATTACCAGATATGTATGACTTTCTACCATGTCATAAACGTGTGACTTATTATTATTAATACCACACTGCTTAGTTGTTTTCATGTTTAAGAAACCAGTTTAATCTTTGCTATAAAAAAAATAGATCGATATATAAAATGAACTAGACTAACACAATGGATAAGACCACATAGTTCAGTGAATACGAGAATGACCAACCAAAACAGATATTTATAAGAGAATCGATCAAACAGCATGATTTTGAGACCAGAGACCAAGAACAACCATTGAGAAAATATTCTACACTGCAAAACTGATTGTAATCGAAAAAAAATCAAATTTATTATCCCCTATAGAACTAGATATTCATCAAACGTTTTCATCACATTCCACAGATTCGGGTGGACATATATACATAGGAAGGAATGATCGAACAATTCAATCAAGGGTTATAGGAACACGTGCTTACATCGATAAACGTAGAAAGTAGAAAGCATCATTCATCGATATAAAACGGGGTATAGAATTGACATCAATAGTTTTTTTTAAAAAAAACGTTGTATACTAATTTTCAAGTTTATAGAAGCCTTGGTTATTAGAAAATCCAAACCCCCCTTTATACACACAGAAACAACATATTGTAACCTTGAATGTGCCCTGACAATCTTTAAACCAGTTTATAGAATAAGGTAATGTGACAATTTTCCATTCTTCACATATTATATTAGCTTTCTTCACATCTTTGTTTATGATTATCAATTTAGGTTTACTCGATCTTTTATTGAATTAATCATCATTTTCTTAGACATAAACAGATTGACAAGTGTCATCAGATTGTTCGGAACGTATAACGTAAATACACCATACTTTTTCAACTCGACTCCGTCTTCCCACTGTTCTATCATGATGGATATTGTACACTCATCTGTAACATCTAATTACGTTTATATTTTTCTGTTAATATTTTATGCATAAGCGTGTTTTTTATTACAGTGAAAAGTCTACTCCATTGAGCAGCTGCTAACTTGTATTCAGATGTTCAGTTCAATTTGGGAGCGTACGTTGATAAGCTAGCCTCGTGAGTAGTTTATACTCTATCATATTGTATCATTCCACAATATCATTAACCGATTAGTGTATTGTGTCGAAAAATAACCAAGTCTTAATTTAGCACATATATATATACATCTAACATTTAATATGCTTTTCAAGGCAAAAGATAACACATTAGATGGCAAATGTACGAAGTGGTGGTTCAGTGATTCAGATTCCTCACCACTTCATTTTAAGAAACCGGGCAGAATCACTAAACTTGAGTTTAAAACCAAGCACAGTCCTCTGTACACTGGTGGAGCAGGATTACAAGTTAAATGAGAAAAAAAAACATAGTAAAAGGAAGCAAATGATATGTAACTTACAAGAATGATTTACTACTAGTGATGTCTTACAAATGGGACAGGTGGATTGATTTGAAAGTAGACTTTCTTCACTTAAATTATTCATTGAAACAAGTATTTGTTTACAATGAGGACATTGATTTATGACTTTGGATGGAGTGAAATCCTCTGTATTATTATGCAATATGTTACTAGTGTTATTATGATCAGGTGTTGTCGAAGATCTGACTTGGTAATTTTGATGAATAGGCTCCAGAAGCCATCGACGATATCGTGCAATTTTACAACATTTCGGTTCAAAGCCTAGAATAGGATCGACGGGTGTAACAGATTGGACGAAAACACCACCAGCACAACTGCCACTATGATGTCCTGTTGTTGATAAAGGTGGTGGAGAGGAGGATGAAGATGTTCCAAAATTTAAAGAATTCGTTGGTGATGGTGATGATCTACAAATACCTTGTGATAATATTGAATTGGTAGGAGAAGACTGATCAAAATACTCACTAGAACCATTACGACGTAAACCTAAACGTGAATTATGCGAACCTTGAAGAAACACTGAACAAAACGGTGGTGATTGTACATCAACAGTATAATCTTTTAATGAATTCGAACGATACAATGAATGACCTAAATGTTCAAATTTACATTGATAAGCATTTTGTAAATCAGTTTGTAATTTTTTATATTTTCTTTGAAATAATTCATGTAAATCTTGTGAATATTTCGTTGTAGACTTTTGTCGTATAGCTGATTGATGAATTGAATTATGATGATGAAATTTTGTGGAATTATAACTTTTAAATAAAATGTCATGAATTCTTGTAGATCTTTTATGACGTTGCCAATTAGATGTTAACGAATAATGTTGTTCATCAAATCGACTAGTTTCAGCCATTCCAATTGCTTCACGTGCAGCTAATGAAATCAATGACCAACAATTATTGGATGAATTAGTAGTTGAAGTAGTAGTAGTTGTTGTAGTGGTGGTGGTAGTGGTTGTCATTGTTGGTTGCCCTTCAACACATGACATTAATTCATTCATACAAGAGCATTGTGGTACTGGATGTGGAATAAATTTATTATTACCACTATTATTATTACTATTATTATTATTATAATAAGTAGACAACTCTTGGCGTAAATTTATCGCATGATACCAAGCAGCTATAGCGTCTTGAATTAAAGAATGTCGATCGAATAGACTAGCACCAAGTAGATCATATGCAGCAGCTTTTTCACTAACACTTATTGTTTGTGTTGAATCAGGAATTTCAACAGTAGCCAAATAATCTACAATCTATAAGAGTTTATATTTTATTGTATATTTTAACATTGTTTAAAGATTAAATGAAACTGAAAATTCAACAACAACAACAACAACAAAAAGAAAGAAAATATACTTAATGAGTATCATTATGATTCGTTAATTAGCTATATAAGTTACAAATTATGTCATCATATATTTATCAAAAATAGGTTGATAATCATTATCAGCATTTACATAGAATAGATGAATTAGTACAGTTGAAAGTGAGGAGAGTTACCTCTCCCTCTCGAAATGCTCTCACATGGTTACGCGTATACAAACACTGCCAAGCAAGTCCTAATCATTGCATTCTCGCGGCATTACTGTTGTTAACGAAATTGAGAGGACGGAAAGCGAATATCCGGCGCTTTAACTGGGTTGGTGAACATGGAGAGTCCACCTAGGAGAGTTGGAAAACCCTGATTACAAACCAATGGTGTATATGGGCTCCAATATCCTGAAGGAACAAATGGAGTATGAACCAATCGTTGGTCACCGGCTACCGTGCGACTGCACCTCCTCACGATGCTCCACTGCTTTGTGGATTAGACCTCTAAGTCAAAGGCTCCGGGTGTAGCCCTTTAAGAAAACCATCTGTTTCGGTCTGGACACTAGGGAAGTATCCCATCCCACACAAATCAAGTGACTTGTGTGGTGTGCATATGTATTCGGTACCCCTTTGTACCAATATTTATATGTCCAAGTAAATAAATAAGATGAATTGGTGGTTAGTAATGGAATTTAGGATGTAAGTATATTTTACTCTACAACTTATCCTTAATTGGATATATATCTATTACATCCCAGTGATGTTGATCACTTTAGGATTTCAATCTAATACATTTCTCTTTAAATATCAACGTGTTATTCACTTAGCTGATAAACTCAGCTAATTACTCTTATTTGTACAACGAGTATGAACTTGAATTAAATTTGTAATCGTTTTAATTATCCTTTATAATCATGCATAAACACATACACTTCACAGCATTATGTAAGAACTGATAATATTGAAGGAAAGATTTGAACTTATAAACCAGTGAATGAAAATCTGATCAATCTATATAAACAATAAACCATAATATAATGAAACAATTTTAAAGAAAAATCAGTATAAAAAATTATGTCCAGTGTACAGATATATAACAGTGTATTGAATAACACGAAAGTTAACAACAAAATATGTAAATCTGTCGCTCAGTAATCTATGTATATTACTCAACTTAGTTAAAAGGATCAGCTCACCTTAGCGGTTTACTTTAAGATGTTCCTAAAGATCAACTATGAAGTCTTAATTGATAGAGTTTAAAAATATCGAAAGTGAAATAGTTTTATCAGTATGAGGATTTGTAGAGATTGTAGTAAATTTAACAGTGGAATTCATGAGTCGATCTAAGCTAAACCATCATTGAAAATCTGGAAGCACTGAACAGCCACTTTGTCCTATTATTGAACTCCTCAGCAGAGCCCATCCACGACCCCCCACATGGAACTCGGACCCCGAAACCTTCGTTCTCGCGCACGAATGCTTAATCTCTAGACCAATGAGCCGGCATCTAACGGTGTTAATGCCTAGCTTCAATCGATCCATGACTTTGCACAACCCTTCATCCATTGTCTGACGAGACCGAAGGTTTGGGGTTCGAGTACGTGAGGGATCATGGATGCCAGCTGCTGAGGAGTCCCATTCTGGGACAAAATGGCCATCTAGTGCTTCCGGATTTTGAATGGTTGTCTAGCTTAGATCAACTCATGAATTCGACTGTTTAGATAGTTTTCATCAGTGGTATTAAATGATTATTGCGCCATATCGGAAATTGACTGAAGATGAAGTTGTACCATTGGACGCTGACCAACTGGTTTTAATGGTTAAACGTTAGTCGCAAGACCTTAAGATTATAGGTTTGATACCTGGCGGGGTTGTGTTCAATATTAATGAGTCCATTACTATAACGAAACAATTTTCGAGTTCTCCTAAGTTTCCAATGATATCTCAATAGAAACTAATCTGTGAAAAACAAGGCCTACAAATCCCAAATGAAGTTTTCAAATGAACAGAGAAACATCAACCCTGACATGTTCCGCATAATGTGTGTACTTAACACGATTATCAAACAGTATTACCATATATACAACTCTATCCAATAGATACACGAAATGAAGTTATAAAAATTTAATTCTACAGAACCTAAGGACTATTAATCTTATTATCTCATTCGAAATAATCCCTCTATTTATGGCTACACATTATTTTGTCTAAACTATCTCAGAAGTTAAGTTCTTCGAATGGATTGATTTACCATCTCTATATCGTCCCAATAAAATTAGTAGCATAATTGTAATCTTGTGTTTGCCGATAGTATATTTCAAATTAATAAAATGAAAGTGCTATTGGTGCTATAGTCGATTGAATTAGGGTTCTGGGGGGGGGGACATAAACTCGAAGATTGTCAATAAAGTTTAGTAATTCATCAGTAAGATGGATGGTAGTGAAAGAGTCAGTACTTCTTTTCCTATCTGTTTATAACCCCTTTAAAAGATTTCATATTCTAGATGTACTCATTCAAAATCACTGCTTACAGATCATAAAAACAACTATCCTTAACTCAAAGACAGATGTAGACAACCTTAAAAAGTAACCTACTAAAAACGAATAAAGCGCATTACCTCTGACATCTTTGCATAAAGAACTATACAAACTGGAAATTCGACAACATACTAAGAATCATTACAGTAATAATATTTAAAAAAATACTTGAAGGCCACTAGCAATCACAAAAACTTAACAAACAAACAACAAAATATATCCAATATAAATTGACAATATCACTTGTGGTTATGATCTTTGACCCCCCCCCAAATGCCCTGGTATGGCCGAGAGTGGGGTGGGCCCGCCCTCCTCGAAATGCTCTCACACGGCCACGCGTATATAGCCTATGCCGGGGAAGTCCTACTCATTGCCTTCTCGTGGCGGGAGTGTTTTTTTACGAAAATGAGAGGACGAAAAGCGAATGTCCGCCAGGGGCTTTAACCGGATCCCAAACCAATGGTGCACATGGGCTCCAGTATCCTGCGGGAACGAACTGCGTATGAACCAATCGTCGTTCACTGGCTACCATGACACCGCATCTCACGATGCTCAACTGCCTTGTGGATCAGACCTTTAAGTCAAAGGCTCGGGGTGTGGTCCCCTAAGAAAACCACCTGCTTCGGTCTGGGCACCCGGGCAGTATCACAGCCCTTACACAAATCGAATGATTTATGTGGCGCATATCTATTTGGTGCCTCCTTGTACCAATGTTTATGTGTTAAAATAAATAAATAAATTTCAAAAGTGATATATTATTTCACTTTATCTTGGTCAAATATGATCTAAGGTAACATTCATATTTCATTGAAAATCTTTTATTAACCAGTAACAAACTAACTTTTTTGTAAGCTGCATTTGCACCAGACATAATTGGTAATTGACCATATTCATCTTTACGCATAATAGCTCGATGATTTAACAATAATTGTAAACATTTTAAATTGCCACTTTCTGTACAATCATGTAATGCAGTGTTACCTTTAAACAAAAAAAGAAAAGTAATAAAAATTGAAAATACAAAAAGTGAATTGAACTGAAGTATTTTATCGATAATCTCTTACCTTTATGAGGTGAATCGCGGTTAAGGAGTAGTAAGCCTAATGGTTAAAATATTCGACATAATCTGCAAACTCGAACCCACTCCATCTTCACTATGGCTAGGATAACAGCGTAATAGTATATCATTAGTTCTTATGATTAAAGTATAGCTTGAAGCCAAATACACGATTCTGTACATGGTAAATGAATTAATAATGATAATCTCTTCTCTACCTATTACACATCAATTTCCTTTCTAGAGTAATTTAGTAAATGTGAACTATTGGTTGCAAAAATAATAGTTTACAATTCCTATTCAATTAATTTCTATGACAGAATGAAATCTATCTACAATCAGTAAGATGATTAAGACATTTTGTGAACAGACATTATTTCGAAAGTTCATTGTTTGCATCAAGTAGTATTGTCCAATATTCTCCTTAAAATTAGTGTGTATATTCATGATCAAAATAATAATCAATCCAAATGGACACTTCTAATGTTTATACTACTGAATAATAACCATTATTATCGATTCACAAAATAATTTCGCCTTATATCCAATTGTTTTATCCTCTCAGCTATTAAATATAAAAGTAACTGGCTTATTAATAGACTACATTGTACAATATTGTATCTATAAAACAAAATGTGATCTTTTCTATACATTAACATCAAATCTCTTTGATTCTCTTGTTTTATCTTGTTTTATACAAAAAGAGATTCCATCATTGAAGAATTTATAACGGATATTATAGTGAACGCGAACACAAATGGGGACAATCAAATGTATCTGAACACAAAATTACAGAACATCTTAGTAAAATCTGACAACTATACAGTAAATACTTCATTTACAAAATGTTAATCAATCGTCTCAGACTTCATTGATACTTCATTTCAACACCAATCATTCCCTGTTTTCGTTCTCTTTCCTTCGATCATCTTAATCTTCTACCGCCAGGCAATTCACTTTCAACTAATGGTATATAAAACTTATATCTTTCGACAACAGTAGCACACACCACAAAACTATTTATGAATTTCCGATTTCCTTCCTGTAGTACAACTCTGCCTGTAGCTCTTATAGGGTTGCTGCCGGTCCCAAGCCCGGGTAAAGGAGGAGGGTTGGGCATGGGGTTAGCGTCCCCATCCCGTAGAAAACTAACTCGCTAAAAAAACGCTTACCAGAAAAAATAATCCAAACCATTTTAACCCTGCCCTGGGAGTTAGAAGGTCTTCATTTAGAAGAATTATGACGCTTCATGGTGAAAGCCGAGTTCCTTCGGAAGCCACGAGGCCGATGCCCCTTCTAACAACCAGAGCAAAAATTTTTATAGGTACATGGAACGTTCGAACAATGTGGGAAACCGGGAAGACCAGTCAAATAGCAATGGAAATGAGGAGATACGACTTAGCAGTACTGGGAATCAGCGAAACCCACTGGACCCAAGCTGGACAGAAAAAGCTAGCTACGGGAGAGATGCTGCTATACTCCGGTCACGAAGAGGACAATGCTCCACACACTCAGGGAGTCGCTCTTATGCTGTCCAAAGTAGCACGAAATGCACTTGTAGGATGGGAATCTCACATATCCAGAATCATCAAAGCATCATTCAAAACAAAGAAGGAGGGGGTCTTAATGAATATTATCCAATGTTATGCACCCACCAATGGTAGCAACGACGAAATTAAAGATCAGTTCTACGAGCGGCTGCAGTCAATCATTGAGAAATGCCCAAGAAAGGACCTAACTATTCTGATGAGAGATCTAAATGCCAAAGTCGAAATAGACAACACTGGATATGAAGATATTATGGGACGACATGGACTGGGAGAAAGAAACGAAAATGGAGAAAGATTTGCAAATCTATGTGCATTCAACAAATTGGTCATAGGAGGCACAATATTTCCACACAAGCGTATACACAAGGCTACATGGATCTCACCGGACCACACTACAGAGAACCAAATAGATCATATTTGCATTAACAAAAAATTCCGAAGGACAATGGAAGATGTGAGAACCAGGAGAGGTGCTGACGTAGCTTCAGATCACCACCTAGTTGTAGCCAATTTAAAACTGAAGCTAAAAAAGAACTGGACAAGTGGACAAACAGCAATACAAAGGTTCAATATAGCCTTCCTTCGAGATACTGTCAAACTCAATGAATTCAAGATAGCTCTCAACAACAGGTTCCAAGCTTTACAAGATCTACTGAAAGAAGAAGAAACTACTATGGAGGACAACTGGAAAAGCATCAAAGAAGCATTAACTTCAACGTGTCAAGAGGTTCTCGGTCTAAAGAAATACCATCATAAGGAATGGATCTCTACAGAAACACTGGACAAGATCAAAGAAAGGAAGAACAAGAAGGCAGCAATAAACAACAGCCGAACACGAGCAGAGAAAGTCCAAGCACAAGCTGAATACATAGAAGCAAACAAACAAGTGAAGAGGAGCATTAGAGCCGACAAGAAGAAATACGTGGAAGAACTAGCAACGACGGCAGAAAAAGCTGCTAGGGAAGGAAATATGAAACAACTTCACGATACAACGAAGAAACTAGCAGGGAATTACAGTAAACCAGAGAGGCCGGTCAAAGACAAAGAAGGCAAGCCAATCACCGAAATTCAACAACAGCGTAACAGATGGGTAGAATACTTCGAGGAACTCCTGAATAGGCCGGCTCCAATGAATCCAGTGGACATCGAAGCAGCACACATAGATCTTCCTATAGATGTCAATTCACCAACTACGGAAGAAATTAGAATGGCCGTCAGACAAATCAAGAACGGGAAAGCAGCAGGACCCGACAACATACCAGCTGAAGCACTGAAATCGGACATCGAAACAACCACAAGCATGCTTTATCTTCTATTCAAAAAGATTTGGGAGGAGGAACAAGTGCCGATGGACTGGAAAGAAGGACACCTCGTCAAGATTCCAAAGAAAGGAGATCTGAGCAAATGTGAAAACTACAGAGGCATTACACTACTGTCAATACCAGGGAAAGTCTTCAACAGAGTGTTGCTGAACCAGATGAAGGATGCAGTAGACGCCCAACTTCGAGATCAACAAGCTGGATTCCGTAAGGATCGGTCGTGCACAGACCAAATTGCAACACTACGGATCATCGTCGAACAATCAGTTGAGTGGAACTCATCATTATACATCAACTTCATTGATTATGAAAAGGCATTCGACAGTGTAGATAGGAGGACGTTATGGAAACTTCTTAGACACTACGGAGTTCCTGAGAAGATTGTCAATATTATCCGGAACTCATACGACGGACTACAGTGCAAAGTAGTGCATGGAGGACAGCTGACAGATGCATTCCAAGTAAGGACAGGAGTCAGACAAGGCTGTTTACTCTCTCCCTTCCTCTTTCTTCTGGTGGTCGACTGGATTATGAAGACCTCAACATCTGAAGGAAAACACGGAATACAATGGACAGCTCAGAATCAATTAGACGATTTGGACTTCGCAGATGACCTAGCCCTACTATCACGTACACACGAACAGATGCAAATGAAGACAGCCAGTGTAGCAGCAGCCTCTGCATCAGTAGGCCTCAGCATACACAAAGGGAAAACTAAGCTCCTCAAATTCAAAGCGGAGAACAGCAATCCAATCACACTTGATGGCGAAACTCTGGAAGATGTAGAGTCCTTCACATACATGGGAAGCATCATCGATGAACAAGGAGGATCCGATGCAGACGTAAAGGCGAGGATCGGCAAAGCAAGGGTCGCATTCCTACAATTGAAGAACATATGGAACTCAAAACAACTTTCAACCAATATCAAAGTAAGAATCTTCAATACGAACGTCAAGGCAGTTCTACTGTATGGAGCTGAAACTTGGAGAACTACAACAACCACAATCAAGAAAGTACAAGTATTTATAAATAGCTGTCTTCGCAAGATACTCAACATCCATTGGCCGGATACCATCAGCAACAGCCTTCTCTGGGAGAGAACAAACCAGCTTACAGCTGAAGAAGAAATTAGGAAAAGACGATGGAAATGGGTAGGACATACATTACGCAAATCGTCAAACTGCATCACGAGGCAAGCCCTAACTTGGAATCCTGAAGGGAAGCGAAAAAGAGGAAGGCCAAATAACACATTACGTCGGGAAATAGAAGCAGATATGAAAAGGATGAATAACAACTGGAATGAGCTAGGAAGGATTGCCCAGGACAGGGTTGGATGGAGAATGCTGGTGAGCGGCCTATGCTCCTTCACGAGGAGTAACAGGCGTAAGTAAGTAAGTAAGTTCCTGTCGTACACTGCACTCAATATATTGATAATAATATCCACTTTACATTTCTCAATGAAGCTTGAAATAATGATTTGAAGTTCTTACTTAGTAGTGAGGGCACTCAAATCTTTCAACATTAACGTTTCAAGTTCAAATCCTAACTACTACACCTCAATTTCATCAACTGGATGGTAGTAGTAGTTCATAATTTTCTTCAGGAACCGATATTAGTGAGGTAATTTATGGTGACTCACGTGCAATTGAGTTTATTCTCATTTAACTCAGTTAAGCCGTTTTTGCTAACTTATTTAGCGGACAAAGTCATCCGCACTATAACAACTTATTGTACCATTATATGTGAAAATTATATTTGAAATATTCTCAGCGATTGAAATATAACTAATTCCAACGTTTCGTCCAGCTAACTTGTCTGGACTTCTTCAGGGTAATAATCAAAATCAAAATTATCAAAGAAATATATAGATTTTAACAATCAGGATTATACTGTGTTAAACCAATCATATTTGGGTGTTGATTTTTTGTAAAATAGGATAAAATGAGTCAGTTGACTACAAATCATGTGATGAATTCAACTACATGGAAATACTTAACTGAGTAACAAATCGTATGTGTGTGAGTGTGTATGTATGTATGTATGTATGTGTGAGAG